GGGGGAGAGCAAGGCTATTCAAATAAACACAGAGAGAGCCTGGAAAAAAAACCAAAGCAAACCTTGGGATCAACTTTATTGCTGATGGTTGTGCCCTTTTCTTTCCCACACCCTCACCTCTCTGGTGGTCCAAAGTCCCTCCAGGATAGCACAGTGCTTAGGTTCTTCTGGACCAGAGGCAAAGGGAGACAATTTGCCCCCCACATCTGCCCCTGCTCAGTCCCTCCCCTGTCCCCACCCAACCCTATTGCACATCAAATCATGTAAACATGGCTACAGGCATGGCCTGGAATAGCAGTGAGGCAGATTGATGTGTTAACGGATTTGGGACCAGGAGCCAGACCCAAGTCACCCAGTCCCACCCCATGCTAAGGCCCACAGTTAAATCTGGAAAAACAAGGGGGCCTGGTCCCAAACTCTGGCTCAGATTATGCAACAGTGCAGATGGCTCAGCTCCCCTCTGCCACCCACCCCTCTCAGATTCCAGGTCTTAAGGATCACCCACTCCTGGTGTCGCTTCAGGACTGGGTAGCAGATGGCAGTGTCCAGTTTTTTCCCTCTCACCCCCAATTAGAGGTCACTGGTGTTGGGTCTTCCTAGATGCCCTGGGGAAACCAGAGACAGGCAATGGCAGTCTGTCCAGTCCTGGAAAAGAGGGAAGGAGGACAGTCAAAAGTAGGACATATGTCCAGACCTCTGGGATAAGACAACCAAACCACAAAATGGATGGATGAAGCATGTTACAAGTAAAGCAGAAAGCCTTCCTTCTCCCTTGCTGGAAAGACCACTGTTCCAGAGGGCTCCACCCCACCAGCCTGTGACTCCCACTCCTTCTCACCAAAAGCCCGGATCAGCTCTGCCCGAACAGCTGCGGTGAAGGTCTTCACCAGACAGAGAGTGGTGAGGCCCGCAAAGATTGCATTGTAGAGGAATACGATGTAAAAATTGCCCAGCCAGTTGAAGCGTCCAAAATCACCCAGCAGGTCAAAGCGAGTGAGTCCTGAAATACAAAGACCAGGATAGAAGGTGGGCATCCCAGCCCCTCCCTGGCTCAGAGCCCAGCTTTCTGCTGCCTCCTGGTGGCCACATCTCAACACTGCAACTGATAAGTTGGCCTATTATTTGAGGGGGGAAATTTTATTTTTCTATTATTTTTTTAAAAATAATTCTTTATTGTTGATAGTATTACATATGTCCCCCTTCTACCCCTATTGACCCCTTCCAGCCCACCCCCATCCCCGCCATCCCCGCCCCAGACCCTCAGTACCCTTCTGTCTGTGTCCATGGGTTATGCATTCAAGGTCCCACCCACCCACCCACTCTACCCCTCCTTCCCTCTGGGATTCCATTCTTCCATGTCCCTGGGTCCATTCCATATATCAGTTTATTTTGATACTTAGATTCCACATATGAGTGCAGTCATGTGATACTTGTCTTTCTCTGACTGATTTATTTCACTTAGCATGATACTCTCCAGGTCTCTCCATGCTGTCTCAAAGGGTAAGAGATTCTTCTTTTTTACTGCTACATAGTATTCCACGGTATAAATGTACCACAGCTTTTTTATCCACTCATCTACTGACAGGCACTTGGGCTGTTGTAAATTGTGCTGCTATGAACAGAGGGGTGCACACATTCTTTCTGATTGGTGCTTCAGGTTTCTTAGGATATATTCCTAGAAGTGGGATTACTGGGTCCAATGGCAGATCCATATTTAATTTTTTGTGAATACTCCATACTGTTTTCCATAGTGGTTGCACCAATCTACTAGGAGTAGTGTACTAGCGGTGTACTAGGGTTCCCTTTTCTCCACATCCTCACGCACTTGTCATTTGTTGGTTTGTTGATGGTAGCCATTCTGACAGGTGTGAAATGGTACCTCATTGTCATTTTGATTTGCATCTCTCAGATGATTGTGACTTTGAGCATTTTTTCATGTCTCTTGGCCATCTGTATGTCCTCTTTGGAGAAGTGTCTATTTAGGTCCTTTGCCCATTTTTTAATTGGATTGTCTTGCTTTTAAGTTGCATGAGTTCCTTATATATTTTGGATATTAACCCTGGCCTCTCCTACTATTAATTATTCCTACATCCCAAGCTCTGTCTCAGAGGAGTTCAGGGCTGTGAAGAAAGTGCCAGCAGCTAGGCTTGCTTCAACTTCCCTGCCAGAGTTTGGCATGTTCTTCGATGGGATCCCCTCTGGCTCCAGGTATTCCAAGGAGCTACCTGGGCCCACCAGTTGTTCCTGGGTCAGGAACTTATAAGTTAGTCACTAGTATTTTTTTAGCAGGTAGAGCTGTGTGGAGGCTAAGAGCTCTGACTCTGATCAGACTGCTATGGTTCATATCCAAACTCCACCTCAACTAATTGTGTGATTTGGGACAAATTCCTTAAACATCTGTGCCTCAGTTTACTCAACTATAAAGTAGAGGAAATAATGGGACTGTAAGAATTAAATAATTCCCATAAAGCACTCAGGAGTATTTTAACTCTTGCTGAGCCTTTAATAATATAATATCAAATAAGATTTCTGGGGCCCTCCTCCACTTAACTCCAACCGAAAGGAACTAACTGATGGACCTACAAGCCTAGTGTACTACTAAACCCTCATGGTTTAAGTATAAATGCTACAGGGGAAAGAGTGTGGACTTAAGAACCAAATAGAACTAATTTACTTTTTTGATTTTTGATTTTGAGAGTACATTCATTAAAGCTGGGGACAGTCAGGGGTTGGGGGGAGGTAGAAAAGGGTATGGGGGAGTAAATGGTGATGGAAGGAGATTTGACTTGGGGTAGTGAACACACAATACAATATACAGATATGTTATAGAATTATATACCTGAAACCTATATAATTGATTAACTAATGTCACCCTAATAAATTCAATAAATAAGGTAAAATAAAACATCTATACTAATAAAAGGGTAATATGCTAATTAGGATGGACGTCTTCTGGACATCCATTGGACAAAGCCACAGGGGCTGCGAGGCCCGGGACTCAGGCAGCCATGAGCTCAGGCAGCCATGAGCCCCGGCGACTGCGAGGCCTGGGCCTCAGGCAGCCGTGAGCCCCGGTGGCTGTGAGGCCTGGGCTCAGACCTTGCAGCCGCCACAGCCGGCAGTGGCGCACGCGTGGGGTAATGGGGGTGGCACCCTCCCCTGATCAGCCCAGTCACCTCCTTCAGAGGGGAGGCCAGACTGTGGCTTAGACCCCGCTTCAGAGCGCTCTAGAGCCGCCGGGAGGACAATCCCCCTGAGGCCTCCCAGAACTGTGAGGAGGGGCAGCCGGGCTGAAGGACCCCT